GGGGGAAAATAACGGGATAAAATAATAACGGGGGAAAATAACGGGGGTAAAATAACGGGGATCGATAACCGGGATAAAATAATAACGGGATAAAATAATAACGGGATAAAATAATAACGGGGATCAAATAATAACGGGGTAAAATAACGGGGATCGATAACGGGGATCGATAACGGGATAAAATAATAACGGGGTAAAATAATAACGGGGTAAAATAACGGGGATCGATAACGGGGTCAAATAATAACGGGATAAAATAATAACGGGATCAAATAACGGGATCAAATAACGGGATCAAATAATAACGGGGATCGATAACCGGGATAAAATAACGGGGGAAAAATAATAACGGGGATAAAACAATAACGGGGATAAAATAATAACGGGGATAAAATAACGGGGATCAAATAACCGGGATAAAATAACGGGGATCGATAAGGGGGATAAAATAACCGGGATAAAATAACCGGGATAAAATAATAACGGGGATAAAATAACGGGGATAAAATAACGGGGATCAATAACGGGGATCGATAACGGGGATCGATAACGGGGGATAGCTGGGGATCAATAACCGGGGATAAAATAACGGGGAATAACGGGAAAACGGGGAGATAAAATAATGGGATATTGGGGATGAAATAAGGGGAAAAGGGGGGAAGAATAACGGGAAAAGGGGATGGAGAAATGGGATATTGGGATAAAATAACGGGAAAATAACGGGAAAAGGGGATGGAGAAATGGAATATTGGGAAAAAATGGGATAGGGGTTAAAAAAAGGGAATAGGGGGCTGGAGAAATGGGATAAGGGTCAGGAAAAATGGGATATTGGGGGGAAAAAAAAAAGGAAATATTGATTAAAAAATGGGATCTTGGTCAAAAAACGAGATTGTTTGAATTTTTGACCCATTTCAAGGTAAATTTTAACCCACTTCCCGTTGGATTTTTGACCCATACGGGGCTGAATTTCTGATGCACTTAGGATGAAATTTTAACCCATTTTGGGGTGAACTTTTGACCCGTTTCAGTGTGAATTTTGACCAATTTTCAGTTGACTTTTGGACCCATTTCCGGTCGAATTTTTGACCCATTTTGGGGTGGATTTTGACCCATTTCAGACTCTCAGACTCTTCCTCCCGCCAGTCCCCGCCCCTGTCCCGTCTCTCCCCCCTCCCTGTTGGTCCCCCCCCCCGGTTCCCCCCGTTGGTACCGGCCCGGCCCGGCCCGGCCGCCGCTCCGGCTCCGTCCACCCCGCAGAGCCGCCGCTTCCCATTGGCTGCGAAAGACGCGCGCTGTGATTGGTCAGCGCCGCCTCCACGCCGCCTCCCATTGGCTGGTGCCACCTCCAGGCCACGCCCACATCCTATTGGCGACCACACACGCGGAGAAAGGCTCTGATTGGCTGAGAGGCGTGAGGGGGCGGGGTTTGCGAGGAAGGCGGAAGAGGGCGGAGCCTCCAGAGGCGCAACGTGAAAGGGGCGTGGTCAAAGCGAGCCAGGGGCGGGGCCTGGGGGCACAGCTGGATCTGAATGGGGGGGGGGGGGGCACAGCTGGATCCAAACTGGGGGCCCACAGCTGCACCAGGAACGCGACTGGACCCAAACTGGGCTTGGGCTGGATCCGGACTGGGATTGCTGGAAAGGGCACAGCTGGATTGGGATCCAAACTGCGGGGGCCACATCTGGAGAGCTCCCCCCCACCAAAATCCCCCCAGGAAGGGCTGGGGTTGGGGGGTCACAATAACTGGGAGCGACTGGGATATACTGGGAGCCTCCATTGTGCCCCCTGCCCCCCACTCTCACCCCAAAACTCCCCCAAATTTCCCCCAAAAATCCCCCAAATCCACGCTCAGCCTCTCCAATCTCTTTATTCTCCTCTCTGCCACCGCGGCCGCCCCAAAAAAAACCCCAAAATCCCAACTCGGGGTGGCCACGGGGGTGGGGGGGTCCCAAACCTCCCCGAACTTTCCCCAAAAAAAGTCTCTGAGGTGTGAGAAGCGCTGAGGGGGGAGCGTGAGGGGAGGGGGGAGGGGCTGAAGACCCCTCCCCCATTTCTGCTTTTCTCACGAGGGATGTGCGGCTTTTAATTCCATTTTTTTTTTTTTTTTTTTTTTTTTTTTTTTTTTTTTTTTTTTACGTTTTCCACCTGTATTTTTGTTGTTGTTGCTGTCGTGGTCGCCCGTCTCAGGGTTTTGCTTTGTCCTCGGGGCTGTTTTCTGTTTTGGTTTCCTCATTTTTGGCTTCTCCTGCTCCTTTCTCGGCGCCCTCCCCCCCTCTGGCGTTGGGCACCCAGAGCCCCGAGTCGATGCAGCGCTGCATGTGGTACTTGGCCTCCTGAAACGGCAGCGAAAATAAAAAATAAAATCGTGAAAGGGTCAGCAAGGCGTCTGGGGACTCCCCCGAGGGGTTTGGGATCCCCCTGAGGGGTTTGGGAACCCCCTGAGGGGTTTGGGAACCCCCTGAGGGATTTGGGAACCCCCTGAGGGATTTAGGAACCCCCCCAGGGGATTTAGGAACCCCCCCAGGGGATTTGGGATCCCCCTGAGGGATTTAGGAACCCCCCCAGGGGATTTAGGAACCCCCCCAGGGGATTTGGGAACCCCCTCCCAAGGGATTTAGGAGCCCCCCCGGGGGTTTTTTTGGGGTCCAACACTCACGGTCGGGTCCATTTTGCTGATGGTGTCCTGCAGCATCTGAACGTCCTTGACATCGAAACATTTCTGCAGCTCCTGGGGGACAGGGACTGGGAGTGACTGGGAGGGACTGGGAGGGACTGGGAGGGACTGGGAGGGACTGGGAGGGACTGGGAGGGACTGGGATCACACTGGGAGGGACTGGGAGGGACTGGGATCACACTGGGAGGGACTGGGATCACACTGGGAGCCACAGATTCCCATAAAAAAAAAAAAAAACCC